CCCACAAAACCCCTTTCAGCCATGTTTTTCTCTTGGCAGATCTGCTTCCAGATTGATTTTTAAGAACCATCACTTTTACATTCCCAATTCTGGTTTGTTTGTTTTGTTCTTTTTGAGTTTTCTAAAATTTCAAATGCTGCCCTGAAAATACTGTATTTTTGAATTTTTGTTCCTAGCACCTCTGCACTGCTGGATCTTTGGGAAGAAATACAGGATCCTTCAGTGCCAAGGTGTTTAAGATTTGCAACTAGCAATGCAATTTTTTCAAATATGAGGATATTTACCTTTACTAAGAAATTATACTAAACAATAATGTCCTTGATCGTTTTCTGTTCTCATATTACTTTTGATTCTGTGTGGTGGTGAACAAAGATCATTACAAACAAAAACTGTAATTTTGTTATCTTTGATTCAATGGAATTTCTTTACTTAAAAAAATAAAGACTAAAAATTTGGTATTGAGTTTGTTTGCTTTGTGTGTTGGAGATTTTCTACTGAAAAGGGATCCATCCCTCCTGTATCTTCACCAAAACATGAATATAATAGAAACCCCAGTTTCCCCTCCCACCTGACCTGCCTTGCAAAGAAAATACCAAAAGTTTTGCCAGCCCACTGTGTCCTCTGCGGCAAGCAAGCCAAAAGCTGAAATAAGTCAGGTGTCGATGGAGCCCCTTTCTAAACCAAATGAACCATGTGGACAAATTCAAGGCAAATGCATACAACACTTGCTGAAATGACTGTGCTTTTCCAGTAATGTTCTCTGAAGAGCAGGTGAAGGTTGGGTGGGGTGGGGTGGGGATGGTGTTATCTTCTCGTTCTCATTCGGATCTCTCTGAACCTGAAGGAAGGGTTTCCCAGCCCAGGCACTGGCTCGGCCAAGAGAGCTGGACCCCACCCCATCCTTGCACCCTGAGCCACCTCCCTCTTGGGCCATGAAAAACCCTTGACAAGCAGGACAGGGTAGGAGTGTTGGCTTTGAAAGGCGTGCCATTCACAAGACCAACGAATGCCCAGTATCAGATTTCAAACCTTATTCCTAAACTTGCTAAGCAAGTTCCCCTAACTCCCCCCACCATACTTCCTGTGCCTACAAGAGATCCGGACTGCTTTGACCCAAGAATCCTACCTAGGCAAAGAATCCCTACCTAGGAAAAGAGTTACCTGGAAAACATTTCAGGTCCAGGGCATTAGGGAGGTTGGTGCCAGCAGTGTCTCCAAGTGTCATCTGCTATACCTCTGCTAGGCGGCCCTCTCATTTGTCTTCGGTGACACTTCCTGACTGCCTCAGTAGGTCCAACATACTTGTCACGCCTTTCACTGGCCGGCTGCTTTCCCGTGCATCAGCCCAAACACCTCACTTTTCTTTCCCCTCTTGTGACAACCTCCCCTCCTCTTGTCTCTGTTGAGTGTTCCTAGAGGAAGTTACAGGAAGGTGGGATCCCTTTTTCTGAGTGGCTCAAATACATTTGCAGGCAGTTTGGCCTTGAATTGCTGAACCTCCTCCCAAAAGGGACCAAATAAGCCCCCCTCTCATTGTGGCTACAAGACAGGGCAAATAGGACTTAGGGTAGGTTAAGCAACTTACTCAAGGCCACAAAGTGAATGAAATACAGAGAAAGCTACAGAGATGGATTTGAACCCAGCCAATCTGCCTCCGAGTCCAGAGCAGCGGTGAGCTAATAGGACACTGAAATACTTGCCTAGTAGGAAGCAAGCAGGCAGCTGCACTTAGAAGCAAAAAGAGGGAGAAAGAGAGCAAATGGTTAATCAAAGGTGCAAGTCTGTATATTCCCTGAGATGAGGAAGCAGGATGTGCAGGCAGACGGGATGAGTTCAGTAACTAAACTCCCTGCCCAGCGACCCCGGCCCCCACTTTAGAAAATGAGTAGTAAATGGCATTCCTTTGAGAGTCCATGAAAGTAAACTGTCTCCTTTGTGCAGGGGGCTCTGTCTGCAGTGGCTGCCTCCACAGTCCTTAACTAGGCCCGCTGTCTATGTGTTGTCAGCTTTGCTGTCCTTCCCAGAGAGCAGCCACCTGTTTCTTTCTTACAGTGAATTTGTATTTTACTTTAGCCTTGGAACCTACGCACATTATGATTTCCACCCTATGTGCAGCTAAGAGCTCATGCTAGACAGTGACACCTATGTGCCCCCCTCATCTCCCTTTTGATGCCACTGAACGCTGGTTGGTTTCCTCTTAAAGTCACTTGCCCTTATCTGAGGATGCTGAGGAAACTGACCTGGCTTACATACAAGTTCTCACCTCATTGCTCCTCTTCCCCTCTCCTACCTACACCTCCCCACCCCCAGAAATAAATATTGGAGACAAAACAGCAGTAACAAAACCAGAACAAGAGTTGCTGGCTTGGAGTCCTGTCCTATCTTCTGTACTTCCTAGTCCTTTGACCCTACGAAGCTTTCAATGTCGGATTTGAGAGTTTTTACTTGGGATAAAGGTGGGAATAATTATAAGAATGCCTGCTGCAGGATTTTGAGAGCTCAAATAACATTTTCAGTGGGCTGGTGTTACTTCATCTTGTGGCTTTCACTTGGAGTCCCACTCACAGATCACTTGCTGGGGTGGGGTGAAATGGAGAAGTGTCCCTGTGGTATACCTTCATATCACAGCACCCAATTGATGGGCCCACAGGAAAAGCAGAGACACACCTGGATATGTATAGTTTCCCAAAGCATCTCCAAGCTGCAAATGCTGACAAGCCGGGTGTGCACCATCAAACCTTTCTCAATATACTCACAAGGTGTATTCACCTACACCCACAGGACTACCTCTGGACACAGTCTCTGAGAAGAACTTGCTCTTAAGTCTAGGACAGTTAGCCTGTGGTTGTTGCTGCCTTCTACATGGGCTTTCACAGCCCAGGATAGAGGAGCCAGGCTCTGGCAGCCTCACTTTGTCTGTCCTGTCTGCTCAGGTGTAAAGTTGGCCTTCAAATCCTTATATACTGACGCTTGCCAGAGTTGCTTCTTCCTTAGCCTTGCCTTCTCCGTATGTCAACACACAGGGCATACGCAGTGCACATCTGAGCCACAGGGAGCTTGGCCAGGGTGCCTGCCAGACCCAGTACAGCAGAACCTCTATGGTCAGAGCCCAGGCCAAAGTCATTTAAAGCTCCCAGAGGATTCCAACTGGAAGGGAGGCTGCAGACCACTCTTGGGCTCTTTAATGGCCAATCCCCTGGGAGTCTTCTTAAGACTGCTGGTTCTGATTCAGCAGGGCTGAGGTGGAACCTAACATTCTGCATTGCCAGCGAGCTCCAGAGCAGAGCAGATGCTACCCTCCCTGTGCAACCTTCAAATGGAGGCTCCGGGGATCCTGTGAGCTTTGAGACCCAACCCTGCTGACCATCCTCAACACCAGAGTGGCAGCCCCCATAGGAGGAGGACCAGAGATGGTCCAATGCACCTCTTAGGTGATGCCCACCCCCCCTCCCTGGCTGACTTGATTGAAGACAAGGACACGCCTCTTCCAGGAGCCTTCACCAGGCCACCAGGCAGCACAAGGTCCTCCAGTGTCAGTGTCACTGATGAACTGGAGGCTCCCAGTGGCCAATCCCAGTGAGAGGCTATCAAGGTTGGGGGCAAGTCCTCTGCTTCTGAGACCCCTGCCCACAGCTGTCCACAGCCTCCAGAATCTGCTGTCTCCCTTCTCCCAAGGGCCACAGGAAGACAGCAGAAATGCAGCCCTGAGACCTGTCAGCTCTGCCTCAGTCACTGTCTTCAGCAGAGTCCCTGCCTCATCCCAGATGTCTCCAGAAGGAACCATTAATTAGGGCACCAAGTGATCGCCTTAAAGTTCATGCTTTGTTCCCTTCCCTGTGGCTGTGACTTTCAAGCACGTTTCATCGTCCCTGTTCTTCTATCTCATTAGTGCAGAGTGAAGTGGAGGGGCATGCGGAATCACACAAATAAGCAGCTGGGATTTTGAGAGCCTAACACCATGTCAGGTTTTGTGCTTTTTGTGTTTGGTATGGGGATTGAGCCCAAGGCCTTCACACTGAGCTACATCCCCAGCCCTTTTTTAACTTAATTTTTGAAATGGTTTTTGTAAGTCACTAAGTTGTCTGGGCTGAGCTCAAATTTGCTGCCTTTCTGCCTCAGCCTCCCGAGGGCTTGGATTACGGGCAGGCACCACCACACCCGACTACATGTCAGCTTTTAACATTCAAGATCTCCACAAGCCTTATCCCAGAGGCAGCACTGCTTTCCCAGGCCAGTCTGGCAGAGGGCTCCCCGCTTGTCCCCAGGGAGCCAGTGCCAAACAAGACCAGCAGGTGGCGGTACACACCCACAGTCACAGCAGTTTCACCAGGTCCCAACCACAAGGGGCTTCTTTCTCAAAGCTGCTGGACATTACTGTCAGAAAAGGGTCTCTGAGCTAAGGTCCTGGCTCTGCTGACTTTAAGGGCAGTCCCCATCCTCCCTCGGATTTGAGTAGGAGCCAAGGCTGCCTGAGAGCCTCCTGGGCCAACATCTGCCTGAAGTTTTCTCTCTATCCTGATCTCATTGACAAATTGAGATCCACCACAGGTCAGAAGTCTGCATCCCAGAGGGCTCCTGCAAGTTGGGGTTCGGGAGAGATGACAGGATTGACCCTCAGATGTCATCCCTCAGATTTGGGATATAACTGTTGAAAAACAATTAGAAATCGCTGGGCGTGGTGGCACACGCCTGTAATCCCAGCACTTGGGAGGCTGAGGCAGGAGGATCGCTGTGAATTCAAAACCAGCCTGGGCTACATAGTGAGTTCCAGGTCAATCTCAACTACATAGTGAGACTGTCTAAAACAAACTCCCCCCAAAATTAGAAATATATTTTGAAAACAAAAAATACTTTCTTTTAAATTCTTTAGCTCAGCCCCACCCCACCCCCCACCAACAGGGAGGCTGACAGGAGGATCGCTGTGAATTCAAAACCAGCCTGGGCTACATAGTGAGTTCCAGGTCAATCTCAACTACATAGTGAGACTGTCTAAAACAAACTCCCCCCAAAATTAGAAATATATTTTGAAAACAAAAAATACTTTCTTTTAAATTCTTTAGCTCAGCCCCACCCCACCCCCCACCAACACCTCTACAGGGGTCACAGGCACCCTCCACCTTGTCAAATGCCCATCTCCACTGGACCCCACTTGCCCACAGGACAGAGCTGCTGCCCATGCAGCCATGCTTGAAATGCCATCTTAGCTCCAGAAATTCCTCGGGGAGCCCTCTGCGATCTTCCCTCCAAGTAGCCTCATTCTTTTTAGGTTTTCGCATCAAGGACCCATGTAAGCTTTGATTTGATACAGGGAAGCTTTGACTTTTAAACAGTAATGGAGAGGGGCTTCCCAGGGGAGAAATCCTCACTGGTCAGCCTCCCAGCCTTCTGCCCACATTAATGATAACTTGCTGTGATTTTCCTCCAGCTCACAAGTCCTGTGTGAATACCATGGATGTCCCTGGGTTGTTGATTGGGAATGTTATAAAGAAAGGAATTTCTTGGGTAATAAATAAGCAGACTGCAAACCTTAGGGATGAAAGAAAGGGTGAAAGAAATCAATACATACAAAACAAGAAAAAGAGATGTTGTGGGTAAGTCTCAAAGGTGTGAAAGCAGACGCAACTGGATTGACCCTACGATCTGGAACCATCTGGAAGGTCAGTCACAAAAGGAGAGTATGGCACCAAGGAAGGGGGTGACCCTGCAGGCAAGAGCAGATGTCCTGGACTGATCCTGAGATACCTCAGTGGTGGCAACCCTGCCAGGTAACCTCACCTGCCACCACTAGCCAGACAACAGGATGTCCGCCCCCAGCTGGGAAGGTAAGGGTGGCAGCCTGGGAGAAGTATCTGCCAGTACCTGGGAGCCCCATCCCATAAAAGCAGCACTTTCCTCAGAGAAGCCTCAAGCCTAGGAAGTGGGTTTCTGTGGAGGGTTGGCACCTACAAAAATGAGCAACACACTCAAGTCACCAACCATTGAAGAAAACCAGCTCCGTAAGAGGAAAGCATTTGTCAAAGGATGCAGATTGGCTAGTACGAGCTCCTCCGCCCTGTGACGTACTGGAGACGGAAGACGAGCGCTTCCATGGTGCATATGAAGGCCAGGGCTCTGAAGGGGCTTTTGGTGTAGCGGACCCATCCCCCCATGGTAGAGGCAGGAGACATGACTGCCACCTGAAGGAGGTCCAAGCTCCTAACTCACTGCACACATCAGGTGACACCCGAGGGGAGCTGGCCACCCTAAAAGGAAGCTGCTCCACAGCTGTTTGCTTCCTGGAATTCTGCAGAAAACCTGTCGCCAGCTATAGGTGATGAATGACAAATCATCTGAGCCTAAGTCCCCTCACTTTGATCCTATTTATTGTTGAGGGGAGGTAACCCTGCTTCCTTGTCTGTTTTTACAGACCCTAAGCAGCTGAACTCTGACAAAGGAAATTATCGAGAGGCCTAATTGGAGTCTGAAATTCACCTTCACACAAAATCACTGTCCTACAGCTTCTGAGGCAGATGGGGATGTAACCACCCGATCCTTCTGTTCACAGGACTCCCCCTCATTTACTGTCCCTCCCCCATCTTGGGGATGGCAGGGAAGGGTAGGGAGGGTAGGGAAACTACCGTCACCTCAGGCAACCCTTTGCCAGCCTGGGTCCGGGACAGCTGAGGCGAGGCCAGTGATGCTAACTACAGCTCGGATGGAGAAGGTGCCTCACAAGGCCGTGTTCTCAACTTGGGCCTGGGACCCAAAGAGCTGCTCTGCAGTCACCCTGCCGTCATATGGGGGCAGGGTGCCCCCAAAGTCAGCAGGCAGGATGCTCTTGTCAATCTCCTGGAAGAAGCCAGAGAGGTCGTCTCCGTGGACAAACACCTACGGGGAAGAAAGGAGACAGCTGAGCAGGAGGACTCGTGAGGAGGAGGATGGAGGGGAGGAGAGGGGCGGAGGACAAGGCCTTTCTCCACAGTCCTCCGTGTCTGTGCCATCCGGGGACCCACCAGCGCAGGACCAGAGCGCAGTCGGGTGGACGCGCGGGATCCCTGCCCCACAGCACCCCACCCCTCTTGCCCCCAGAGCTCTTTCCTGCTACGGCCCACACTCCTCAAAGACTCACTCTCCGCAGCAGCTTGCTCTTCAGGAAGGGCGCGACCATGTTGTAGGTGGTGGTGAAGTACCACGGCTGGTGGATGAAGTGGACAGCTTTGAACCGGGCCGGGAAGGAATCCTGCAGGGACAGGGGCCCCACCACGTGGCCCCGATGGCCTGAGAGGCTCTCCTCACCCCAAGCCTCTCCCATGGTACGGGGACTGACTTGTCCAGCACTGTGTGTTGCCCCCCAGGCCAGCCCAGGGATGGCTTCATCCTCGGGCCAGCTGCTGGGGCCCCTCACTTCCTCGGGACTCCAGGCTGCAGGGAGGAAGAAGCCCCAGAAGCATAGAACCCAACCCTTGGCCATGGGTGCAGAATGCCCAGAGCTGAGTGAAGAAATGAAATGGTAGCTTTGCTTGGGTTTTTGGTGACTGCGGTTTTTCAAACCCACTTGCCTGTAGAATGGACTACAAGTTCTTTTTTTTTTTTCTCCAATACTAGGGATTGAACCCAGGACCTTTGCACTGAGCTACATCACCAGCCCTTTTTTATTTGGACTGTGCTTGAACCTGCAATCCTGCCTTAGCCTCCCGAGGTGCTGGAATTATAGGCCTCCACCACTATGCTCAGCCGTCACTGCTCTTTATGGCACAGAGAGCAAATCCTTAGGACGCTGCCAGCACAGTGACACTGGTAGCACCGGAGGGCGGCTCTGGGTGCTAACCCCTAACCTGCAGCATGTCCACCATCTTCCTGAGATCCGGGAGCCGGAGGCTGGCAGCCTGCTGCATTGTAAAGCCCTTAAAGTTCTCAATGATGCAGAAGCCGTTAATTTGAGTTTCCTCGTTCTCCAGTAGCTTCTCCAGGATGAAGCAATAAGCCTGCAAAATCTGGGACACACAGCAAACAGGATGTGAAATCCAACCCACAAAGATAATTAAGACTCTAAGCCCTGAGGGGACGGCTAATTGGCACATTCATTACTGGAAGAATTTGTCTCAGGATTCCATCTAGGACATCTTCTCTCTATGAGTGTCTACCGAGAAACAGCCTTCAACGTCACATCCATGGTTGGACGTCAGAGTGTTTAGCCTGGACTCAAAATAGTGGCACCACTGGAAACATTCTAATGTCCAATAATAAAGTACAGGTATAATGACCGTATTTTAGGATGTGGAATTTAGGTCCAGAGGCGTTAAAAATGATGCAGAAGACCAATGATGCCAGAATATGTCCATAGGATATCATTGTACAGTGTGGTCCTACTTTTAAAAGAAAAAAATGTGTGTGGGCTGGGGATTTAGCTCAGTGGTGCCTTTGCCTGCCTTGCAAGTGCCAGGTCCTGAGTTCGATCCCCAGTACCACAAAAACAAAAAAACAAAACAAATAAAAGAAAAAAATGTTTGTGGGCTGCAGATTTAGCTCAGTGGTTCTACCACCTATCTCGAAAGCTCAAGGAACTAAGTTCGATCCCCCGTACCAAAAAAAGGTGTGTGTGTGTGTGTGTGTGTGTGTGTGTGTGTGTATAAAACAGATTGAAAGGATGTCAGTAGTAAAAATATCTGGGAATAGATAAAGAAAATGTGGAATCTATATATAATGGAATACTGCTCAGCTGTAAAGAAGGATATATTTAAGACATTTGTAGGAAAATGGGTGCACCTGGAAAATATAATGTTGAATGAAATGAATCAGACACACAAGTTTGAATGCCATATGGTATCTCTCCTCTGAGTAAGGCTAAGTACAAACTAAGAGAAAAATAAAGGAAGGACAGAACGAGACAAGGGGATGGATCTTTTGCAGCTGGGAAGTGGTCCGGGGCACCAAGGATGATGGGGGAGAGGGAGGGGATGGGAACTAGGTACAGTGAAGACTCGTCATGTACAAGGTCCTAATAACCTGTGTGTCATAAACACGGACTAAGATCAGCAATATCAACAAGAAGGAAGAGGGGGAAAGGGAAACTAGTGGAGGAGGGAGGAAGGAGGAGGGAAGGAGAGTTTTAAAATATTTAGGAGGAAAACTTGAAAACTTCTAAAAGTTCAATAGTACGGTTTTATTTAAAACTTAAATAAAAAGAACAGCATCTCCTGTTTGTGGATGGGTAAACTAGCCATGAATACAGCATTTATAAAGGAAGGTGCCAATCCTCCTCAACTTTGTCATTTACATGTAATATTATCCAAATAAAAATACACCTGTCTCTCTTGGAGCTGGACAAATTAATTTTAAAATTCACAGAGGAAAACAAATATTCAAGAATAGCTACGAAAACAGGTGAGGTGGTGCACGCCTGTAATCCCAGCACTCAGGAGGCTGAGGCAGGAGGATAGCTGTGAGTTCAAGGTCGGCCTAGGCTACACAGTGAGTTGAAGGCCAACCTGGACTACACAGTGAGAACCTGTCTCAAAAAAAAAAGACGACCGAGAAAAGCCCAGAAAAAGCAGAGTATTAGGAATAGAGTGCAGCGGTGTATCTTAGCGATAGGACATTTGCTAAGCATGCATGAGGCCCTAGGTTCTACCTCCAGTAACACACACACACACACACACACACACAATGGAATTAGCCCAAAAGATATTACACATGTGCCATAAAATCTCTGTAACTAAAACAATATGAGGGGCTGGGGATTTAGCTCACTGGTTCTGGCACCTGCCTCACAAGTGCAAGGACCCGAGTTCAATCCCCGGTACCAAAAAAAGTGGGGGCTGGGGACAAAAAACACAAACAAACAAACAAACAAAACCAATATGGTGTTAGAGCATGAATAAAATGAATAGACAAAGAGATCAATGGAATAGAATAAAAATCCAGAGATAGATCCTAGTATATATGGAAATATAGGCTATGATAAAGATAACACCTCAAGTCTTGGAGAAAAGATGGACTTTTTTTTTTTTTTTTTTTTTTTTTTTTTTTTT